AAGCCATGGTCTTGGCTGTGGGAACTAGAGAAATAAAAACAACAAAGACAACGAAGAGCCATGTACGTATCCATTCCATCACAACTACATTCAACACAATTATACATATAAAAAACTGATTAGAGTTTACCTGTTTTTTCTACTGTTTACTTCTGAGTATAACTGGTATACAAACTACAAAAGTTTTAAAAAGTTATGTGCACCTACCCAAAGAGGGCTTACTGAAAAAAACCTTTAAAATTTGCACCTGATGAAGTAGCTTTAGCCCATGAAAGTCTATGCTTTTATAAATCTGGCTTAGAGGTTATGACACTGAGCTGAAGACTGGAAGGTCTGTAGTTCGGCAGTTCGAGACCCTGGTGTCGCATGACGGAGTGAACTCACATCTCTGGCCACAGCTCCTTCCAACCTAGCAGTTCGAACGCAAGAAATTGCAAGTAGATAAATAGGTACTGCTTTGGTGGGAAGGTAACAGCATTCCGTGTGCCTCAGCATTTAGTCATGCTGGCCACATGACCATGGAGAAGTCTTCAGACAGCGCTGGCTCTTCAGCTTGGAAACAGAGATGAGCCCCATCCCCTAGAGTCAGATTCGACTGGCTTTCGAGCAAGGGAAACCTTCAGCCTTTGAAACTGACACCAGAGTTTTTGTTCAAAACTGAGAACTGTGTTTGATGGAATAATGGAGTGCTTATTTTCTTATACAAGCAGCTCAAAACCAATAGCACTGACTTGCAGATATCCACGGGTGGGGCAGAGGCAGGAAAGAACTCTGCATAACTAACGATGTCTCCTGTCTTCAGTGTTGCAGAACGTCCTACATGTTACTCCCCATCAGATTTATAGATGGCCAAGGGAACACATTCCCATTTGGATCAGGACCAATGCATTCTGAAATTACTTCCACAGCTTTCTCCACAGCCTAGTCAATATTTTTAGCATTATTCCTGTTCTCTTTTGTAGGAGTTGAATCCTGAGATAGGGCAGGTTCCCCAGTAAAATCATCAAGGAAAGGAAAGGAAACCTATCACTCAGTATGAAAAGAAATGAAAAGGAAAAAAGGTAGAGCTCACTGGACTCAAGGCAACATGCCAAATGGAAACAAAATGGGAGGATAAGCAATCTCTCTCTTAAACTGCCTTTTTCACTACTGGGTGATTAAACTATGTCTTTGGATTCTGTTAATATTTTACTGACAGTTTGTGAAGATCTTTCATCCCCCTCTTGCCACTTCTCTTAAGTGCTGCCTTGACTAACTTTCGTGAAAGAAATGATGTGTTGTGTAGAGCATTGAGTTAAATGTGGGAAACCCTGGTTCAAGCCTCTGAACCAGCCATTAAAACTCTACAGGGTAGAGTAGTGACAACAGTCTGTCAGCCTACACTCACAGGAAAAAATAAAAAGAAGTTTAACTTTTTTATTTAAAACATTTCTATCTTGCCTTATCTTCTTGGACGTAAGGCACCCCACTGTATAGCAACCAAGGTGCAAATGCATATATTAACAAAATTAAAACAGATTAAAATACACAACTGACCAAATTAAAAGCATTCAGTCTTAACACACCCAAGAATTTAAAAACACATAGGCTCAGCAAACTCACAGCCAGATCAGTGGAAAAATTCACCCACTACCAAATGCTCTCCAGAAGGGGACATAGCAACAGAAAAGGGGATAAGTGGTGCTGTGGTAATGACAGGAGTGGGACAATCAAACAATGGTGAAGTCTGCCACCTTGCCTGCTCACAACCAAGAACAGTTGCCACTTACCCCAAGTGAGCAGCAAACCACTTAAGAACAATAATTCTCCATTAGGGTTGGAAGATGCAGCAAACTCAGTACTTGGGAGGCCATTATCACAACCTACTTGCCTAGAAAAGGCTATTAAGTGGCTACTGATACCTTGCTACCTCATGTGGGCAAGTGGGTAACTGAAATACCTCCAAAGTGACCTTTCCAGATCACTGCACAAGCCACCCTGTGATGCTCAGATGCACAGAGGCACATCAACCAATGAAGCTGCCTGGGACTGTACTTAACTGCAAACACAGAAGTTTTCCAAGTGCCATGCCCCCCCCCCCCAAAAAAGTGACAAGCAGTGCTCCAGCACTCCCTCCACTTCTCACTAAAGTATTGCATATATTTTGAAGACAACATTAGGCAAAATTAATCAAATATGTTTTTTAAAAATTCTGCACTTTTTCAGTCTCTTACCACATCGGCATTTTCCAAATCCAATACCCAAATTACTACACTCCATTACTATGTCCTTTTTCCTGTAAAAGTATAACTAGATGAGTAAAACTGCAATATATTTATTTTAAGATCACAAGTTTCTATGCATATGTGTACAATATTGTTATTAATGTGAATGTGTGCGAGCCCCAATGACTGCTACATATTCACATGAAATTACAGAGAATGTGCATAAACCAGCAGTAGAACAGAGATTTTCTCACTCTACTCAGTGTCCAAGTAATGTCACCAAACAGGCACAAGTGGATAATGTAAGTTCAGTAATACATACATTAGCAAATAAATCAATATATTCTCTGATCTGTGACTTCATATAGGTTGAATATGTATAAAATATCTATCAAATCACATTCTCCAATCCAATTAATAATTATCTATATTGACTAGGCGATACACATAATTGCTTATGCTACGCATTTGCAAATTCACTCCACCTTTGTGTCCACATGCTTAGTCATCACTGTTTATACAGAATTCACACATTGTATACCAACACACACCCATAGCATGCAAGCAACATCAACAATTAATCTTGCAAACAAAAAAAATCCTACAACCAACTACGAACTCTGAACTTCAGATTTCCAGTTAGGTGGCAAAGTAAGCTGGCCTACCTTTCTCAAATAGTTCATAAATATCATGAATGATCTGAAGTAACTATCTCTTATATTCAGTAATATACAAATTCAACATGCTGGAAATAAGCAAATGTTTAAACATACATATTGAATCCAAGTCAAGAAATAGTCAGTCATGCTTACAGATCTTAACCTTGACCAACTCCTTCTGGACTGGGGCCACTGCATATAAGACTTCCACAAGGCAGTAATGCTTATAAAGGGAATGTTTATGTATTTTTTTATCAAAGAGCTAAGAAAATTCCACAATGATTATACATAACATTTAAAGTAACCATTCCAAATCAACAGGGTGGCATTCTTTTAAAGAATTTATAACATTTCCCCCAATTATATTTACATTGCATAAGTGTTTTAAACATGTTATGATCTATGCTGCTTCCCTCCCCTTCCCCCAATCAAAAGCCTTTTCGTGGGTTATTAACATGTGTGCTCTTAAATTTACCTCTTCCTTATCTAATTATGTGCATTAATGCATTAAGGAGGTAGATTAATTACAATCAGCTGCCAGTTTTCATCCAGAGTTAAAATACATTTCTGAGCAGCATGAGCTATCAAGTTCCTTCATAATACATGTATTTAGCAAAAGAGAACGTTGTAGTTGGCTTTACCCCAGTATCAGTGCCATTCCTTAACAGAAATCCTAAAATCACAGTTGGCATTCTTTCTCTGTGCTATTTTCATCTCCAGCCTCCTCCCTCACGTCATCATCACCACCATTTTATTGGCATAACATTTATAGCTCATATATAACCAGGGTAGGGATGGGAAAACCGACCATCAAACCTATTTAGCATTTTAATTCTGAGCTTCGCTTTCTATGGCAAAACAACTAAACCTTTTGATTATGTCCTTAAACTCTGGAAATATGCCTTTAAGAGGAAAAAACGTTTCCCTTGTTCCCCACCCCCCCACACACACCATTTTATGTATGTCTCTTTGCTGTGATATTTAGTCATCAAAAACAAGATAAAGGCAGTCCTTGTTGGTTGTTGCCACATGTTCTCTCTCTTTCTCTCTCTCTCTCTCTGCACTTATAAATCCAATGAAATTCTTCCTGTTTTAAAGCTGTACATGGCAGAGTGTATAAGCTCATTTTTAATAGTATTCTTTATCACCTATTGATTAGTTTGGATGTACTAATGCACTGGAATGTATTCTCTTATGCACATTTTGATAATATTCAATTTAAAATTAACATATACATTTACTAAATAAATAATACTGTCACCAACAAGAGAAATGGCTACTAAAGACAGAGCTATTGATCAGAGATGTAAAGGTTAATGTATCTTTAAAAAGAGGAACACCACATATAAAATAGGAATATATACTGTAGCAGCAAAAATTAATTTTAAAGCAAAATATGGTTTAATAGGGTTGGGTTTAAGCAAAACAATGCTTAACAGAAAAGCAAAGTCTACAAAATTAAAACTGCTTGTGAATATTAAAAGCAGATTTCATATATATAAAATGATTATTCTAAAAACACTTCTGAGTCATTTTGTCCTTACCTGCAGGCATGAACCATTACTGCATGCAGTGACTGCTCCATTTCCTAGCACAGACTTGAAGCAGCATCACATCTCTCTCCCAGAATGTGACTAATTCATAGGTTTGCAATTCCTAAGCTATTTGCAAAGGACACTCCCTTCCAGCAAAATATGATGCTTTTAAGAGATTCTATTTTCTGCTAGCCTAAATTCATGAATAAGCCTAATTTTGTAAGTAAGATTATCTGTAATTAACATACAAAAGTCTCCTAAGACAAAAAAAAAACAAGGCGGGGGGGGGGGGGGGGGGGGGGGCTAAACACACACACACACAGAGAGACTGCAGCAACAGTATAATATACGTATGTACCAGAAGATGACAGTATTATGGATTTGCATGCTGCATGGAATAGATTTCATTTTAAAAATTTAAACAATAAACCTTTTGCAAATGTCACAAAGCTCAACCAGGAAACACAGATTCAGGTAGTACATTACAATGTCAAGCATGCAAAACATCAACACAGTCCACAAACTTGACAAGAAAAAATACCCTATGCTGCATATTAGCAAAATTACACCATTAATTGTTCATGCAGGAGATGTAGCTGTACCTTTCTGAAGAGGACGACTTCTCAGAGTTAACTGACATCAGCAGCTCAATCTTCTGCTTGATTTCTGGAAAAATCAGAAAATATTCACAACCAAAGACTGCCTGCCCTTGCTTTCCAATGCCTTATTAGAGAGAGATTTTCCCCCCAATCCCCTTTGTTCCAAATGAAGCCACAGAGTCACTGTACTTCTGCAGAGGCAGATTCAATGGTGCTATAAAAGAAAAAGCTCCAGAGGCATCAGGCCTTGCTAAACTATGCACATGACTGTTTATGAAAGCAGGAAGTACCATTCCTTTTATATGGAGGGGTGTTTCCTATTTTGAGGTTGAACTGACGTTTACCAGATGATTCTTAAAACAGGTTACATGCAGAGGCACATTCCAGCTACTAAGAAAAATCCAGCAAATAGTTTACTGAGTTACACAGCTGGACAGCTAGAAATTTGCTGTAAGAGGCTTTCATTTCAAGAGATCTCAAAAAGACAGTTTGCTGAATTGCTTTTTGGCACAACGAACATGTTTACTCATTAAAGTACAGATGAGAAATAATTATCAATAATAATTGACAAACAAATACCATACACACACTAGATGGTGAAACCAAAAAGAAATTTCCCTCACCCCTATTTGAAGTGTTCCCATCCTAATGCTCTCAACCAACCAACAGCAACACCCACTATCAAAGATGGGCTGACATATTATATTTGCCTGAGCAGAAATGGTCTGACAACATCAGCTAGTTGATGACAGCCAGATCAATTCTACGCCTGCTTTTGGGGGGGGGGGGTGTCTGCCATGCCATCTGTGGCTTCTTGTCACAAAATAATGGCAAAACATATACAACCACCACTAAAGTACAAGCTTTTATAAAGGCTATGTTTTTCAACTGCTCCTCACTGATTATTCCCAAACATTAAAAAATACAGCATTTATTATACCCTTCATTAACATCTTTTCCTACAAAACACATGTAAACACTCAGAAGCATCTCTGTAAGCTACAGAGATGGAACGACAGCAAACGAAAAATTTTCAGCAAGGTCAACTCTTACAGCTGTTATACATACAAAGGGGAGTTAAAATTAAAGGATAAACAGGCAGCAGCAAGACTGTTTATCCCTTACAGTCAAGAACTGCGGTGAACATCAATGAAGTATCACCCAAGTGATAATGTACAAGAGTCCAATGAGATTTTAGATGGTACTCCTCCACTGCAACGTCATTTCAAAGAACTGGCAGATAATGATGCTTTATTCAACATTAATCAGATCTCATCTTGAATATAGTGCTGAGCTGCTACAAACAGAATGTTGGCAAACTAGGAAACATACAGAGGAGAGCTACACAGTGGGTTCCTGTGGCTCTTTTTCATTTATTTGCAACTTTGTATTCCATTCTTCCATACATTAAGAGCAAATTACAAAAATAAATTCAAACAATAGACCAGTAAATACAACAGCAGCACATACAACAGATTTACTGGGTTGCAATCTAGACCAAGTATGTTTAATTAAGAAAAGTTATGAAGGAAAAAGGAAAAGAAAGTATTAAAGTTTCAAACGTTAATATGGTAGTAAAAACATGTGGAAGAGTAGCTCATTCTACGCAGGGAAGAAAGAAAAGTGGCCTTTAAATTTCTATTAAATTTTAGGAAAATATTTCCTAGAAAGAGAAACTAAGCCATGGAATAAATTGTGGATTTCATCCGGCATCCATCAGGAACGGTTAAGGCACTGGACAGCCTACTTTAAAAGCAAAGAACTGGAATGGATGATCTATTAATTCCTCTCCAATGCTACCATTCAGAAAGCAAACAAATGGAGACACTGTGTGAACAAAAGAAGCATATCTGAAGAAAATGAGGTGGACTAGCTTCTTGTCATTATTTGCAGAAATCATAGGAACTATTATTCAGAAATGAGCTGGCCTAATCCAATATGGAAAGGATAATTACTTCATCTGAACATCCTATGAGTAATAACATGACTATGTAGATTGCAGACCAAGTGCAACATTATTGGACCTTAACTCTATTGCAGAATGTGCAAAGTTGAATGCTAACTCCTTTACAAAAAGGGACAGTGACAGGGAAAATAGGGATCAATAAGCAACTTAAGATGGACTATGCAATGAAGAATAGAATGGAGTTATAGTAAGTAGACATGTGCTGCTTATTGCTAGAAGGAAAAGCTTCACTGGTAGAGCCACAGAATCTGGAGATGGTTCAGACAGTAAGACTAGAAAAAGAACTGTAGTGCCTACACTATCTGACAAAGTCTACCAGGGCCATTGCGGTGTCTTCAGCAGTGTTCGCTGTCTCTGTCACTGCTTGTGCTACCTTGCAGGAGCAGCCAATCAGCTGGGGGTAAATCCCAGCCCCTTACACAGACTTCATGATTAGGTCCAAGATTACTGACTACAATGATCAATAATAAACAAGCTTGGAAAGAGCCAGGCTTTGTGAAAAGTGAATCCATTGTAAGTATACAAAACGTTTTTATGGTGCCGCAGAAATGAGCAAATTTGGCTGTCACTTGGTGAAATTAGGCCTAACTGTGGCAAGCAAAGACCTCCTGGTATCATCAGTTCCAGGTGATTGAACCAACATCCCTTTACTCCTTATCTCATTTTAACTAGCCTCTTATACCATACTGGTTTAGTACCACCAAACACTGGCTCAGCACATCTTTTATTTCAAGCAGATGGCACAATTCCATGCTAGCACTAGCTTCCCTCAGGAAATGCTGTGTTATGGGGCAGATGATGCCACAGCCCCACACTACGAAGGCAGCAGGAAGGCACTTCTGGTTTCCTGTATGTGATTAAGGTATCATATAATGTAATTGTCAAAGTGGACTTATTTCAAGCTTTCACAGAATACTGATGAGTGAAGCAGTAATTCTATTATCTGTTGGTAATGCAGTACATCTTGAGTTGAGTACTTGAGCTGCGGTGGCTCAAGTGGTTAAGACGCTGAACTGCAGGCTGTGGAAGGTTGGTAGTTCAGCAGTTTGAGACCTGAGTGTGCCGCATGACGAAGTGAGCTCCTGTCTCTAGTTCCACCTCCTGCCAACCTAGCAGTTCGAAAGCAAGAAATTGCAAGTAGATAAATAGGGACCACTTCAGTGGGAAGGTAACAGCATTCCGTGTGCCTTGGTGTTTAGTCATGCTGGCCACATGACCATGGAAATGTCTTCGGACAGCGCTGGCTCTTCGGCTTTGAAATGGAGATGACCTCCGCAACCCAAGAGTCGGATTCGACTGGCTTTCGAGCAAGAGAACCTTTACCTTTTTAATGCAGTACAGCACCAGGAAGAAAAACATCACAGTGGTAGGACACTATGGTCCAGGTCAGGGGTGTCAAACATGCGGCCCGTGGGCCAGATCCAGCCCCCACAGGGCTCATATCTGCTTCCTTCTCTCACTCTCCTGCTTCCTTCTGTGTCACACCAACTTCCAGATACACGCCTGAACAACACCTGAACAGCATACTCAAGATTGCTACAGCACATTGTCTCCAGATTTTGATAGAATATTTCAGAGCAAGAGGTGTCAGTGATCAGAGACTGCTAAACAAACCAATATTGCAATAGTGCTAACGTTTTAAGCATATTTTAAGTTTTTTTAAAAAATTGTGATAGTCTGTGTCCTTTATAAAGTTTATATCTCCACTACCTGGTGTTACATTTTATGACACACATGGCCCAGCCCAACAAGGTCTCATTTATGTCAGATCCGACCTTCATAATAAGTGAGTTCGACACCCCTGATCTAGGTGCCAGGTTCAATTCTTGGTATCTTCATTAAAAACAAACTGCCTTTGAGAACTGCTGCAACAACAACAAACCTGCAAGTCAGAGAAGCCTGACACCTTCTGTATTTAAAATAACACAATGTTATTACGTTATAAGATACAGCAAGCCAGGCTGAGGTGGTCTTACAATATTGTGATACAGCAACATTCTGAATCACTAAAGACCCTGAACTTCTGATGGAATAAATCTATAAGTAATGGAATGGTAGAATGGAACGTATTTCTCTGGTCTGGGGATAGGGGAGATGACTCTACACAGCCAATTGCCCCACTTCAAAGAAGAAGATGCTGTCAGGTCGCCTCCATGTTTGAGAGGAGAGGGATGGAGCTTAATGACAGGGTATCAGTTAATTATTCTCAGCATGCCACAATTGATACATCTGTCCATCAATCTCCAATTTTAACACATTTATTTCCTTCACTATGTTTTTCCCTGGAATTAAACCCAAATAAATGGTAACCATTCATTATGCTGTATGCTAATTTACTGCTCACCCTCTACCTATATGTATGGACTGGTAATTTCCATATCATTGTATCTAAAGAAGTGTGCATGCACACAAAAGTTTATACCTTGAATAAAACTTTGTTGGTCTTAAAGGTGCCACTGGACTCAAACTTTGGTCTAATGTAGCAGTGGTAAGCTTTGCCAGAAGTAGACAAAATTTTCCTATGTAGCTCTTAGCCATCCAAAGAATTTAGTTATGGTTGGTTAGGGGGGTTGATCCTATGAAGTCTAACAATTATCACATATATAAGCAGAAAGTATTTGTTAATTTCCAGCAAGAAGTTCTGAAATTGCTCTGTCCGTATTCAGCAAGAAGATGTCATTCAAATGTAGTTCAGAAGTCCATAGTATATTGGCATGGATGAAGGTGTAGTTTTCTAAAAGAAAACTTTTACATTCTACCTTTCCTAAGGGAAGCCCAACATAGCTTATAAAAAATCTTGTTACATCATAATACACATGAACAATAGCCCAGACATACCAACAAACTTTTCACCCCAAAATCCTTTAGAAGTCAAAATTTTAACGTCCAAGTACTACTGAGAGGAAAGGAATGCAGGCATCACAGAGCACAGAGATGACAGAAACAGGTTAAATGGAGAGATGAGCAAAACGGTTGAAAGACATTTGCTGTTTTGTGGGCTAATGGACCCTTTGCTAAGGGGAAATATGTAAATATAGAATAACATAACAAAGATTGTATCAAATGACCACTTTCCACTTTTTTATGCTAAAATCAGTACA